TCTTGGGTTGTCCAATATGTAGATTAATTCCTTGAGTGTTAGTCTCGTTTTGCTTACCATGAGTGTCACCTTGAGTCTTGCGGTTCATGATACGAAAGCATCACGATTTGACACGGCCATGTCGGATCGACGTCGGATCGCGGTTAAAGCTGCAAGCTCCCAGCTCCGAAATGGGCCAAACCAGCAACGAATCTGTGCCAGGGTATTCACTGGACGAATCACCATGTGGCAGTCTTAGCACCTGCTCAGGGCAGCTTTACCGGTCTTGCTTCTTCCTGTCAACTTCAGGGTGCGAGGCCTCGCGCCTCATAACCCCAACCCTAAAACTCTACTACTATAACTACTGTAACACTATAATAAGATAATACTAGAATACTACAATACTATAATGCTATAATACAAAATATAAGAAACAAAAACACTTAAGTCTGAAACCCTGCACACAAAGTCTAAACCCTAGACCCCCCGACGGCAACACGCAGCTCAGGTTTGAGGGTTTAGGAGACCCCAAATTAGTGTTTAGGGTTTAGGAAATCATCAACCTCAAACCGTTTAGGTCTTATGGAGTTTTTGGAGACTTCTTCAGGATCTCGTCGTGCATTCAGGTTTTCGTTTTCGTAGCTTCACTCATCTACTGAAACCGTACAAGCATCGTGAACAACCCTAAATCCTAAAACCGCCCTTTACCCCAGCTCTCTAACACCCTAACCAGCTCTGCTTCGGCGTTACTTCATTCGCCAACCCTAAACCCTAAACCTTAGAATAACCAGAGAAGGGTTCCTTTAAGGGGTTCTACTAAGTCTCGCAGCTTCACCTGGCTATTCTAAGAAATCGAATATACAGGTATGAAGCGTGCTATGTCGTGGCAACTCTTATGTACCTCGAAGCCCTCTTTGATTTATCAAGGCCCCCGAAGGTGTACCCTTAAATAAAGGCCCCCTACCCTAAGCATTTATCAGTAGCTCTTATAGATCACCTTGTTTGGGGTAGAGAGCTGGGGGCGGTGGGCTCGTCAGGCCGCGTGCGCAAGCCATTCCTGCGACAAAGAATGCCTACTATAGGGGCCAAACTAATTACCAATACCATTGCGCAGGCTCCTTGTTATAATTATAGTATACTGGGCCCCAAAACCCTATTCTAAGTCTCCTCTCGGCAGTTTAGAGCTTAGGGGTTACAGTGGAGAAGTCTGTGCTAAATCTGCTGTTCCTGAGTCCACCCTAGACACTTGCTCGCGGCTACTAAGACCAGAAGCGATCAATGTCCGGCCCTTGGCGCAGACAGACATGCTTATTTTCTGCAACGGGAATAGGCTGTCCTTTGCGGGAACCCGCAACAGGCACGGAGCATAACGGAGCCCAACACCACAACACCAACGAACCTTTCCCGTACCACAGGCAGTCCCGTGTAACAGGAACTGGGGGAGATTCACATCCAGCATCTCTTCTTGGCTCCTAAACTCAGGGACCTCTTTCCGGTCCCCCACTTACAGGGATTCAGACCTGGGATTCCAGCAGGCCTTTCCCACATAGTCAGCTCTAGCCATCAGAAATTAAGCAGTAAGCCTTCGATCCCGAACCATTCTTCGACATGTTAAAACGAAACATAGGCATGAGCACAAGGCAATAATGTTCGCAAAGCAGGGGGCCGAAAACTGGTCCCCCCACAGGAGAGTTGCAACATAGTTTCCGCTGCTTGCCTTTCCAGGGACAGTTTCTGTTACGCTCAGGGTGAAAGCGGTTCGCGTTACTCCACGCGCCCAGATAAACATGCACATATCTATACATGTTGACTGTAAAGCATCTGGGCATATTTTGTTGTAACGGGTGCATGGGGACATACCATTTCATACCTATAAGCATATACATGTGTGCGTGTGGATGTCTCTGCAAATACGTATATTTATAGTTGTTTCTGTCTATGTCTATGTAATTACGTGTATATGTGTATGCTTATGCACATGCATGTGTAGATTATATAAATATCTACACATGTGCGAATGTCTTTGCATATGTGTACAACTAGTTCTATATGTTTTGGTCCATGTCGATATCTATGTCTAAGTCTACGTCTGTGCATGCGTATATGTATCTGCGTATGCTTATGGGCTCAAATGTGTAAATACAAATGTATTTGTACATGATAGGTATATTGCGGTATGTAGATGTATACGCATATGTTTGCTTATATATGCACACATGATATACAGGATGTCTGCTGTACATCGATTCGCAAACTCGACTCCGCCCGCTCAGAACTTGGTTGAGTGGTCGGTCGCCGACAATCATCACAAGGAGGTGCTCGAAGTATTGTTGATGATATAAATCCTGCATTGCCCATAATAAGGAATATACCATAATTCCCATAGTCTATGGTCCTTCAGGTAGTGCAGGATTTATATCATCAACCGTAACTCAGGGCCGTCCCTGCTGCTTCGCAGTGTTTCAGAGCTTTTTTTCTGCAGAGTCTGTGTGCCCTGTGGGTTTTGGGGAGCAAAGTTATGGGTTCAGTCACCGCTAGCGGCGAGGCCGCCAGTGCTGCCAACGGTATGACCTTCAAGGATAATCTTTTGAAGGCCGTAGAGTTTCAGGCAATATGGGGGTCGGAATAAGTAGTAAGTAATTGTATCTGATATTAGGGTTTAGAGTTTAGGGCCGGTAAGCATACCAGGGTTTAGGGTTTGTGTCGTGAAGTCATGGTGACGAGTGTCCTCTGTCGCACACATCTGCGCAGCCATTGTTAGCAACAGTCGCTGTTGAGCTGGTATCCGGGAAAGCATCATGGTACGGATTTCTTTTGCAAACACGGGCACACCCACGCCGCGAAGAAGTCGGTTGCCTTCCTGTCAGGTTCAGCTACAAATAAACAATGCTATGCTGTTGGACCTCAGGCCGGATCTTGCGTGTGTCTTGAGGGTTTGTGGTTGAGGGTTTAAGGTTTCGGGTTTGGGGCTTAGTGTTTTATTTAGGGTTTTAGGATCAAATCCCAAGGCCGGCTCCCGAACACCCTGAGCCGCAGATGCAGAGTTAGAAAAAGGCCAAATCCGGCTGAAGCCTGAAAAGCAGCGTGCATCCAGCCACAGACACAGAAATCGCACTGGGCTATGCTTTAACGGCCCAAATGATTACCTCTTTGTAGGGTATACTGGAGCAGGTCTGCTGGAGTACTTTCTTTTCTTTGCTTGTGACTGCTTCCGTCTTCGCTGGTTCTTCCAGTTTCAGTCTCCGCCGCCCCTCGGCAATCTTCTTCCACTCGGTTACTCGCCGGGTTGAAGATAACCAGAAGCCCGTTGCTCGAAGAGGAGAATACGAAACTCCAGGACAAGCAAGAGCCACCACAGTGACTGCGATCACCAAGAGGCCACGGCGACCAGGACGACCAGGACTGCCAGGAAGGCCAGGACGGCCACGACTACAGCGACCAGGAGACCACGAGGAGAAAGCCAGGATAGAACAGCAGGAGACCACCCAACAGCAGTAGACCAGCCTGACGCAACCACAGGGCAAGCGGCTTCCAATTTTAGCAGGATTCAGGAGCACGTCCACTACAAGTATACGAGTTTTGCTGGTGCCACTCGTACTGCATGTGCTACGAGTGCTACACGTACTAGTAGTACGACGACTATAGTATAGCTGTTACAACTCCTAGTACTACTAGCAGGAGCCGGATTCGGAGCGGGAGCAGGAGCAGGAACAAGAGCAGGAGTAGTAGCAGTAGTAGTAGTAGTGGCAGTAGTGGTAGAAGTAGTAGTAGTAGTAGTAGTAGTAGTAGTAGTAGTAGTAGTAGTAGTAGTAGTAGTAGTAGTAGTAGTAGTAGTAGTAGTAGTAGTAGTAGTAGTAGTAGTAGTAGTATAGTAGTATAGTAGTAGTAGTAGCAGTAGTAGCAGTAGTAGCAGTAGTAGCAGCAGCAGTACCAAGAGCAGCAGCAGTAGACTCCTGCTCCTACTCCTTCTACTCCGACTCCTACTCCTACTACTCCTACTGCTCCTACTACTCCTACTACTCCTGCTACTCCTACTACTCCTGCTACTCCTACTACTCCTACTACTCCTACTACTCCTACTACTCCTACTACTCCTACTACTCCTACTACTCCTACTACTCCTACTACTACTCCTACTACTACTACTACTACTACTACTACTACTACTACTACTACGACTACTACTACTACTACTACCACGACTACTACTACTACTACTACTACTACTACTACTACTACTACTACTACTTCTACTTCTACTTCTACTACTTCTACTACTTCTACCAGTTCTACTACTTCTACTACTACCAGTACCAGTACCAGTACCAGTACCACTACCACTACCACTACCACTACCACTACCACTACCACACCACTACCACTACCACTACCACTACCACGACCACGACCACGACCACGACCACGACCACGACCACGACCACGACCACGACCACGACCACGACCACGACCACTACCACTACCACTACTACTACCACTACCACTACCACTACGGCTACCACTACCACTACCACTACCACTACCACTACCACTACCACTACCACCACCACGACGACGACCACTACTACTACTACTACTACTACGACCTGTTTAGTACTGGTGTACATCAGTATCGTAGGTATTCAACAAAATCTCCGAGTTCCAAAGCCGAAGTTCAGATTTTCAATTTGGAAGCCCCCGAACTGGCAGCATGGCCTGGGACGACTACCCACCGAAGGACGTTCGGGCACGTTGGGACACACAGCGTTTCGAGGGGATCAGGGCTAAGCTGGGCATTTTGGCGCCCGGAAGTGGGAATGGTTTTTCCAAGCTTCTGCTCAGGATGGAAAGTGCGAAGGACTGTGACACTCCGGGATCATAAGGCTGTCATTGCCCGCTGTTGAACCTGGAAACCTTACCTTCACCCGAAGTTCGAAATATCAATTTTCGATTTCATTGCTTGCCTTCTCAAGTGGTGAAAGGCTAGTCTTGGAAGTCAACCTGCAGCAGGTGCAGCCACATTACTAATACGAATACTCGTCATCCCATAGAGTGTGTAGTCATAGTTATGAGATTCGTGACTTTAGCCTCATTGAAACATGCATTGATATCTTGATTCAGGGTGATTAGATTGCGTTCCCGCATCGAACTCCGGTTTACCAACGGAACAAGCCTTGTTGGTCTGGTCCTGTGTTCATTGAGACAATCGCAATCGCACACAGGGCAGCATGCACAATCAATATCAAGAGCAGTGGCCTTTCCCCAGCTCGTTGTCTCGATGGCGACCGGGGCAAGCTGGGATGGTATAGGGTTTTGAAAACGAGGCTATAGATCATAGTAGAGAAACGCCACAAACCCTGCTTTAATTCTTAAGACCCCTATAGTCGATACATAGCTGCGACGTTCAGGAGCTCTTCATTTTTGCACATTTGGCTGCAAGCATGCTGAGAGAAGGGCTTTTCGAGGCCAGTCGTTTGTGTTTTGTGTCGACCGTCGCTTTGCAGTTGAGGTTTAGGGTAAGGTGGTATAGCGCTAGCAGCAGTGGTAGTAGTAGTCGTCGTTGTGGTGGTGGTGGTGGTGGTGTGGTAGTGGTCGTGGTCGTGGTCGTGGTGATCGTGGTTGTGGTGGTGGTGGTGGTGGTGGTGGTGGTCGTGGTAGTGGTAGCGGTAGCGGCAGTGGCAGTAGTAGTAGTAGTGGCAGTGGTAGTCGTAGTCGTAGTCGGTGTTGGTGGTATTAAGAAGTAGGAGTAGTAGGGGTAGTAGTAGTCGTAGTAGTAGTAGTAGTAGTAGGAGGGCACGAGTAGTAGGAGTATTAGGCGTAGGAGGAGTCGGAGTAGGAGTAGGAGTAGGAGCAGGAGCCGGATCGGGAGCCGGAGCAGGAGCAGTAGCACTAGCAGTAGTCGTGGCTGTCTTCGCCGACATTCGCCGAAGAGGACGGGGAGTGAGGGGGGGGCGGGTTGGGTTGCGGCGAGGATGATGAGGATGAGGATGAGGATGAGGATGAGGACGAGGACGAGGACGAGGACGAGAACGAGGAGGACGAGGACGATGATGATGATGATGATGATGATGATGTTGATTTCATTGGTGATGATAGTCGTTGTTTGGGCAGGAGTGGCCGCAATGCGAATCTTAGCAACATATTTAGTCGCAATCAGTAGGCAAGGTCCCAGAAAAAGTCATCGGTGAAGGTGCTGGTGATAGTAACCGCGGTAGCAGTGACAATGATAAAGGAACCGGTGCCGATCATGAGTGATACCGGTACTGATATCTGTACAGGTAAAGGCCATAGGAACAGTAACCGCAATGAGTAGTAGAAGTACCAATGCCAGTCGCAGTCGCAGTGGCAGTAGCGTGGCAGTCGCAGTCGCAGTGGCAGTAGCAGTAGGAGCAGGAGGCGGAGCAGGAGTAGGAGGAAGGAGGAGTAGGAGTAGTAGAAGTAGTAGGAGCATTGGTAGTAGTGGTAGTAGTGGTAGTAGTGGTAGTGGCAGTGGCAGTAGCAGTAGTAGTAGTGGTAGTGGTAGTAGTGGCAGTGGTAGCAGTTGTAGTGGCAGTGGTAGCAGTAGTAGTAGCAGTACTGTAGTAGTAGTAGTAGTAGTAGCAGCAGTAGTAGTAGTAGTAGTAGTAGTAGTAGTACTAGTAGCAGTAGTAGCAGTAGCAGTAGCAGTAGTAGTAGTGGCAGTGGTAGTGGTAGTGGTAGTGGTAGTGGTAGTGGTAGTGGTAGTGGTGGTGGTGGTGGTGGTCGTGGTGGTAGTTGTAGTGGTAGTGGTAGTGGTAGTGGTAGTGGTAGTGGTAGTGGTAGTGTCGTAGTGGTAGTGGTAGTGGTAGTGGTAGTGGTAGTGGTAGTGGTAGTGGTAGTGGTAGTGGTAGTGGTAGTGGTAGTAGTAGTAGTAGTAGTAGTAGTAGTAGTAGTAGTAGTAGTAGTAGTAGTGGTAGTGGTAGTAGTAGTAGTGGTAGTAGTACTGGTAGTAGTAGTAGTAGTGGTAGTTGTAGTAGAAGTAGTAGAAGTCGAAGTAGTAGCAGTAGTAGCAGTAGTAGTAGTAGTAGTAGTAGTAGTAGTAGTAGTAGTAGTAGTAGTAGTAGTAGTGTTAATTTTGGGTGCACCGCCCTTCAAACGGTTCGGCAATACCGTCGCTGAAGCTCTGGTGCTGATGACAGCATCTTCTGTATACTGTTGGCCGAGAGCGCGTTCTTGGTACCACAGACTTCGATCGTATGCATGCACGGTCGCAGTGTGCTTCTGTTCCTTGCCATGGTCAGGATCGTGAACTCGAGTTTTGGGAGAAGGGTGTGCTCGATCCGATGAGGCGGAGCCGACTTCGTTTGGCACTGACCTGGCCGCGTTGTTTTCCGCAAAACCTAAGTGGTATCTGTGCCCTACGTATGTGTTAACGAGAGCCTGAGACATGCGCATCTCTACTTCAAGAGAAGTCCTAAACTCTCAGCCCTAAACCCCGAACCCGAAAGTGTCTGCAAGTTTCCAGTCTTTGAGATCGATTTCTGTGCCCGATCCTGGAGAGGATTCCCGTCTTCCGTTGAAAGCCCGAGTGGAGAGGTCGGAATTGTTCCTCATCCTACCCCCCTCATAGCCCCTATTGTACTTGCAGTGTAGTATACCCCAAGACCCCGATTCTATTTCAATAAACCCTAAACCCTAAACCCTAAACCCCTAAACCCTTCCAATTCTCGGTCTAACGGGCCTTCCGACTAACATTACTTGGCATGCGGAAAAGAGGTTTTATAAGAAGGGATCCCAACCCTAACCCCTATACCCTGAACCCTAAACCAATAAACCCTAAGCCCTACCTAACCCTGAATAACCTACCTTTTTCGGGTTCCTTATTATGATCTCTTTATATCGGCCCTTTAAACAGGTAGGTTATTTGGGGTTAAGGTAAGCCCTAAACCCTAAACCCTAAAGCAATAAACCCTAAACCCTAAACCCTACACCACTAAACCCTTAACCTTAAACCCATAAACCCTAAACCCTAAACCCTAAACCCTAAACCAACCCTTAACCCTAAACCAATAAACCCTGAACCCTAGTAAGCCGGCCAGGGAGCATCCCGTGGATCCTCGGAAGTTGAACTTCGCTCTCACGGTGCTCAACCATCTGATGGACCGGCTATTCGGCCTCTATACTCGGCTTCCTGTTTAGGGAGTTTAGGGTTCCTAAAACGGCATCTACAAGGCTTTACGTAAGGTTTCTCTAAGGGTGCTATAAGGACAGTTTTCTATGTTGGGGTCCCTGTTTAAGTCACCAAAGTCGTACGGCACCCTTATAAGCAGGACTCTAAAAGGGACCCTGGTGTAGAGAACTACCCAAAGTTGATCCGACATTCGGCTTTTGTGTTTAGGGTTTTGTTTTGATAAGGGTTCACTATGGGGCAAGTTGATGGTATACCTAAAGGCTTTGGGGCTCAAGCCTTCGGGCCTGAGGCATTTTTTTTTTTTTTGGGGGGGGGGTCAAGTCGTGGGGTACAGGATTTGGCACATACTCTATGAGTTCCGGCCTTGGCAACGCAAGCAGGTGGCATTATCGTACGGAAGTCGGCAATAAACTTAAGCCGTTTTAGATCACTTTTCCGGGTTGTTGGTTTGAGGTTGTTCCAATACTGTGACACTTCAGGCCCCCCATTATAACGAGAATTACTTTCTTAGGCATTTGTTCGAGTGTTGTCAGGGGACCGATCATGCGGAAGACAATCCATTCCTTCCCGTTTCTTCGTGCGGTTATCTATCAAGTGTCATATCACTGTGCGCGGTTGTGCCTCTTGTGGCAGGGATGTCATAGAACAAATATACATAAACAGAGGCCCTGTGTATGCGTAGAAATAATGCCACCGAGGGGGAGTCCGCATTTGTTGGTGAGTGAGCTGTCCTTCAAATTTCGACCTGTGTGAGATTATTTTGCTGATCATGGGAAATCATCTGGACCCTGGACCTCTATAACACAAAAACCCGACACATGGGCGTATGGAATGTGGTTCTCGGCTTTTGAGGATTTGTGTAAGAATGCTCTTGATGGCCGGAATGCCCTCTTAGCATGGGCTATTAAAGCGCGAAATCTAGACCATGAGCCCTAAACCCAAAAGCTTATAATGTAAAATACAATGTATAATGTATAAGATAACTTCACACTCGCGGGTTGACCTGCGCGGGATTGCTGTTGGTCTTTGTGCTTGTTAGCTATGATCCTTCTGGGGCGCTGTTGAGTGTTGAACTCATCACATCAAGTGTACATATATACACGCATATGTATGCATGTATGCATGTACATGCATACCTACCTATCTACCTACCGGCCTACCGACCTACCTACCTACCTACCGACATAAGTGTGCATGTATATATATATATATATGTAATATATATATATATATATATATATATACATGTATATGTATATATATATATATATATATATATATATATACATATATACAGATATGCACATGCATATCTATATCTCTATATATCTCTATATATATATATGCATACATGTATGCATATATATAGACACATATGTAGAATCTGGCCACAATGTCTTCCTCTGGCTACAAGGCTCATGCGCTGGCCGCTGACGTGCTTCATGTTGGCCCAGCAAGCAACTTAGCAACCCACCATAGCTCTCGTGGGCCCTTAAAGGTGCTAGGTTTGGTTTGAGCCGTCGTTTCGGAGTGTGTCCGAAGCCATCAGGTAGACATAAGGGTAAGTGTCTATGCGGTCCAGTCCACTAGACTAGACAAGGGGCCAGGGAGGGACATAAGCTCAGCTGCTCAGTAATACTGAATTACGGCTTTCATGGGCACCGATGTGAAGCCTCGGTGCTTCTGAATGCAGGCAAATAGCTCTGTGCTCAATCTCCGAGCCTCCTGGGTGCGCACACGGCAGTACTGCAGATAACTACAGTCACAGAAGCACACCAGAGTAGATCAGCTCGATTGAAGACTGGCCACGTGATGATAGAACAGCAAACAATACAGTAGGAGTTTCAGGCAGCAGGGCATCGGTTCCAATATTGAATACAGATCAAACATAGCAGGACTCTTGTTATAAGGATTCTGAAGTATGCTTGTTTTCACAACACCCCTGAACCCACCCCAACAGGCCGGGGAGGGTTGTGTTGATGAAGAGGCTGACCCAGTTTGAGAAGATCGCGCCGCCCCTGTATGCCTACGCCTGGGCCTTGGTTTCGATGCTTCGTTTCTGAACGGGCTTACATGCAGTCTTCGACGCATCCGGGAGTTTTCATCAGCTAACAGCCCTAATTCGTAAACCCTAACCCTAAACCCTAAACCCTAAACCCTAAGCCTCAGCCGACTTATGACGGTCCAGGGTAAGCCCACGGAGCTGAGAACCGTAGCCCGCCCGGGTGAATCTGCGTTTTGTCGACGCGCCACTCCGAAGCCCCAAATCCTTGGCCGTCTAAGGCCCCTATATCATAGTACCCTTATAAATCCCTTATAGTAGCCCTTATATGGAGCCCTTTAAAGGGAACCTTGTTCTAATATGTTCTAATTATCTCAGGGTTTGGGGTTTGCGGGTTTGAGGTTTAAGCCTTGAAGCGGTTTAGGGGTGATTGAGTAAACAAGTATTTAGTTAACAAGCTTATCAACTAATGATCTGAGTTAAACGGTTAACATATTAATTTGATATGAACAGATAAGCACAAAAATCAGTAAATGAACAAGTTGATAAACATACACTATGTATATGTGTACCTGTGTATATGCATATACAAAGACGTACATGCATATATATATATATATGTATATGTATGTATGTATGTATTTACATATATTATACACATATACAAACATGTGTTTATATGTCTGAGTAGCAATGGTTACCTACCACAGCCCGATGGGAGGACATCATCATACCGCAATTTCACAGTGTAGTATGCGAATGCCCAGAGGGGTAGATACTAGAGAGGTTCTGTTAATTACCAATACTGTTTTGGTCGTTCGTTATTACAATTATAGTCTAATAGCCCCCAAAACTCTATTGTAATTATTAAGGCCCCCATATTATACGACCCTTAGAGATCCCTTATAGTAGCCCTTATATAGAGCCCTTTAAAGGGAACTTTCTCAAATCGTTAACGCCCCTATATTACGTACATGATCGCGCATGATCTGACTAAGTCATGCAGTCCTCAGATCCAGGCCTATGCCGACCCTTAAAACCCTAAACCCAAAGCCCTAAACCCAAACCCCTAAGCCCTAAACACAAACCCCGTGCGCCGTGCCAGATAAACCACGCCCGATTGATTCTGGACTATCTGCCGGAGGACACGGGGGGGTATTGACAGGTGAGGCGGGTACCATATATATATATATATATATACATGTATAATTTTTATATTAATGTATATTATGTATATTATGTATATTATGTATATTATATACACATAGATGCACATCTCAACATCCGCTTACAGAGCCGGTGCGCACTTGTATGTTTATGCGCTCCTAGGCGCGTGCATATATATATATATATATATATATGTGTGTGTGTGTGTGGTGTCATGCGTGTGGACTTTTGGCGGAAGTGTCGAGGCAGTCGGGATGGCAAAAGAACACAATACAGCAGAATCAAGTTCAATGGGCCGGTACTGGGATGATATGAGAGGAAGGAAGTTTACATTGCTGCAAGGATCTACATATACTTACACACACACACACACATACATGACATACCTATGGGTGAGAACGGGACGGCCGCGAGAAACGACGGTACCGACTGCGGTGCTTGCAGCAGATGTGCAACTCCAGGCACCCTGGCGCCGGGGTCATCTCAGGAGATTAAAGCTATCCTTGCACTCACTCTGTCGAACATCCTTTTCACATTACCCTAAACTCTAATGCCTAAACGCCCTAAACCCTACACCCTAATTGCCCTGATCTCTAAACCCTAAACCCTCGGAGTCGTGGCAGGATCTGCTGCACGCGCCAAGCCTCACTGAGGACCGCGTGCGAATGCTGAAGTTGGAGAGGTGGTCGACTGAGATGAAGAGGGCCGCCGGTGCCAGCTAAGTCATAGTAGTTATAGTAATAGTAACTATAGTAGTCATACGAGTTATAGTAATGATAGCAATTGTAGTATTTTTGGAAGTTAAGGTAGTTATAGTAATTATGGTGACTCTAGTTTTTATAGTAACTATGTCCGTAGGTCCGTAACGGCATGACGTTTCAGTCGTGGGCGACGGGCGGCTAAGCCGACTTCTTCACGGTGTAACAGGCTTTGCGATTGTGTCTTCGCTCGAGCCAAGAAAGGTCAATGTCCATATGGGAGTTTCCGAAAATCAGTGGTACCCTATTTTGGGGTCCTTATAATAAGGATCCTATTCTTTAGGGTACTATATTAGGGTCCCCTATTTTCGGGCACTCCCATATCATACGCAAGAGGTCCCCTAAATACTGCGCAGAATGTTCCAAGAGGTCTAAGAATATCTGCAGCAAAGCGCATTTTCAAGTTTGTAGACATCAGCCTCGTCAACCCCCAGCAGTGAAGCCCACGTCCGAGAAGATTGGAAACGTGTGAAGTCCCAAGCTGAAGCCGACATCTGAAATACACCGTACACAGTGCCCAGGCGGCTCACGTTCCCGCCGCCACCGGAGCTTCAAACTGTCACAGGCAACCTGGCCTGTACGTTACATGATTCTAGTGCATGTTATGCATATCTTCTTCAATCTTACGGAGTACTTCGGCACTCTAAGCGTCTCTCTTCTGGGTGTAGGTGAGTTCTTGCAGTCTCAGTGTCGTGAAAACCTCAATGACCGATGAGCTATGTGTCGACTAGTTGCCTCCTCTGAACCCTAAACAAACCCCAAACCCCAAATCTCCCAAAACCTCAACCCGAAATCCCTAAACCCTAAACCCCTAAAGCCTTCGCTGAGGGCTCGACAACCGCCACCACGGAGCCCGAAGCGGCCCGAGCTTCGCGAGCGGCAGGAAACGCGTACGCGGAGCCTCGGTAAAGCTAGGCGACTGGCACCATGCATGCTGGCCCCTTGGGCATCTCCCACGGAGTGGTTATAAAGGATAGACCCTATACCCGGTTTTTTTGCTGGCACGTCCTTTCGACAAGGGTTTGACCCCCCCAACCCTTCACGATTTGAAGCGGCTCCGGGGGTGTTGCTGGCACGTTTTTTCGAGAAGGCTTTGAACCCCGAGCCCTTGACGACTTGGAGTGGCTCCCAAATTGCCAAGGATTGGACCCCCCCCCAAAACCCTTCACGACTTGGAGCGGCTCTCAAATGAACAAGAATTGGACCCCTACCAACCCTTCACGACCTGGAGCGGCTTTCAAATCAGATGGACCAGGATTGGACCCCCCCAACCCTTCAAGACTTGGAGCGGTTCCCAAATGGGCATGGATGGGACCCCTCCAACCCTTCACGATTTGGAGCGGCCCTGCAAACAGACAATGGCTATCAGAATCATAACTCCCCCAGCACAGCCTCACAGAAAGCCCACTGTTTCTTCCGGCACCTACAGAAAGCCCGAATGAGAACCCGCAGCCTCTCAGAAAACCAAATCCAGAAAGGGACAGACTGACAGAAAGCCCACATGCACTGCTGTTTGTTTGTTCAAAGCTCCCGCCAGCACAGCCTCACAGAAAGCCCACTGCTTCTTCTGGCACTCGCCAGCACAGCCTCACCGAAAGCCCAGTGCATCTTCCGGCACCCGCCAGGACAGCTTCACAGAAAGCCTACATGAGAACCCGCCAACACGGCCTCACAGAAAACCCAATCCAGACACGGGACTCACAGAAAGCCCACATGCAGCGCTTCTTGTTTATTCGCAATTCCCGCCAGCACAGCCTCACAGAAAGCCCATTGTTTTTTTCGGCATCGCATTCGACTGCAATTATCTTGCCTATTGGAGGCTGTGTGTCTGCTGCAGGTCCTTGCGCATCCCGCCCGTAGGCGAGACTCCCGGCCTCCCCAATATGGGTTCTCCCGTATGCATTATGCATCTTGTTTCTGTTGTCGATGTTTTGTGCTCTCATGCCCGGAAACTTGCTTGAAAAATCAGCAGAACATCAATGCTGTATGCATGCGCAGAGGTGATGCGCGAAATCTATGACATTGAACAAAAGAAATCCAAGGGTTTTCCACGGCGGTTGATCGGATGGCCGCTATCACAGTAGATATCCTTCCCATTTTCTAAACACAGCTTCCGAAATATTCGCTATCAAACACCTGCGAGTAAGATAAGTTGCATCTTGCGGCTTCAACTTAATTTCCGTGCTATGTAAAGCCGGTCCGAATTTCGGCACTTGGATCCTAGTGCTTGTGTCTCTTGTATTTTTGTATGATTTAGACATTTAGAGAAAAGATAGAACTGAATACACGACGAACCTCGGGTGGGTCGGGCGGGCAACAAGCAGCCACGTGTCAGGCTTGGCACACCCCTGAACCCTAAACCCTTAAACCTCTAGACCCAAAGGCCCTGAACCTTCAACCCTAAACCCCTAAACCCTAAACCCTAAAAACGCGGCCAGTCTTCCAGAACAACGAGCTTCGTCGAGGCATGGGCGATGGCTTTATGGAGCGTCGTTCTTCTAGGTTCCTGAGTAGTACCCGTTTGCCTTGATTACAGTATGGCTTCTTTATTAAAGCCGAACAGTAGGAACAAGGGTGCCCTTATTATAAAGGGGTTGCTCAGGAACTTAGTCTTTTATCAGAGGCTTCGGTGCATTTCGCTTCATGCTGGCTGCAATTGCATGGGTGCATGCGGGGGCTGTCTTCAACAGTGGTCCCAGCTTATCCTGGTTCTGTGCATTGGTTCTGGAAATGTTTAAGGAATTAAAGGAAGCAGCATCTTTGTGAATCTTCAAGATTTGTGATGAGTTCGTTCAGCTGCGCCCGTTTCGAGCTTCCAGCGTTTCGTAGCAGGAAGTTTGCAGCGGTGGATTCCTGTCCCCGCCGCACACCCAGCAGCAGTACTGTTGCCTTCAAAGCTTGGGGGTCGGGATTGCTATCGCTGTCGTGGTTATCACCATCATCACCGTCACCATTCTTCGTTGTCTTCATCATCCCCATTCTCATCACAAGGTGTCTTATTCCACTTTTAACATCATGTCATAGTTTATATGGCTACCGGGTCCTATTCTGTATTCCTCAAAACTATTATATACAGCAATTACCAACTGAGAGGATGATTCCATCGGAAGCAGGACAGGTCAGGCGGTTTAAAACCAAGGTGGAGGGTGCAAATTCTTCGGAGAATGCATGTGGGTTTCGGGTCCAGGCCGATTAAAGGCGAAACAAAAGAGAAGGTGCAGAAAAGTTGCGGAGTTGTTCTCATTCGTTCCCCTTGAGTAGCTGTGGTCGATCGTCGCCACATATAAAGTTCGCTTTCAAGCGGCTAAGTTCGATGCTGAGAATTGGATTTAATAAAGTCCTCATTCGTAAATAACTTGACCTGCCTGCCCCTTCCACTCATCTTTTGCTTGGCTCCCTGCCATCACGTCTAGAATCTAGACGAAGTCTTTGCTTGTCGCCCTCTAGCGCGCTCAGCGTCCGAAGCCTGAACGGCATTAAGAGTAGTACTGGGAATAGCAGCCATAGCAATACTTCGTAACAGAGATCCCAGTAGTATTCATAGTTTTTTTAGTAGTTATCAAGAGCAGATATTACATTGTAATATCATGGTATATATTATAGCAATATTATAGTCGTATTAGTAATGTTAGAGTAATATTATAGAAATATCTTTGTAATATTGTAGTAGTATTATCGTAATGTTTAGAAGTATTTTTATTTATCATAGTACTTGTCGTAGTTATCGTGGAATGTCAGGCTGCCTGGCAGGAGTTTCTCGCGAGCCGCCCTCAGTTGCGGGGGGTGATTTTGGGTATAAGCCTGGATCTTGGGCGGTTTAGGGGATCTGGGGAGTATATGCTACTCGTAGTTTCTTTTAGTTATAGTATTTGATAGTATATTCTAGCATATGATAGTATATAGTAGTACATGATAGTCTATTATAGTATATGATTGTATCCTATAGTATATTATAATATGAAAAAGTAGTTGTTGCCCTAAGGATTCCCGATAGGGTGCAAGAGGCGCGGGACAAGGTCAGATATTTCAGGCGCTGGATTTTCGAACCGGAAGTGGCGCGCCGACAGACTACTGGGTGTTTGTCTGTCTGGATGGCTGTCTGACTGACTAACTGTCCGGCTGACTAACTGACTGATTGACTGACTTGTTGGCAGACAGGCAGACAAGCAGGAACATACACGCACACACAAGATGCTAAACAGTGTCAAACTTTCAATCCTAGACCCTACACCTCATCAAGCCCGCAAACAAATTCGACGAGTTTGAACTCTGCATCGCCTGACGAACCATGTTCACGAGCCTGTGGTCTTAACCAGGCTATACCTATAGTTTCCGTTGTCGTTCCTGTTTGTGGGTGACCTTATGGGGTCCTCAATCACAAAATTGGGAAAACCAACACAAGGACTAAAGGAGCTACAATGGAGACTAAGGTAGGTCTGCAGAATTTGCAATGAAGCCCCCCAGGGCCCCTCTCATTGCAGTATAGGCCAACACCCCAATACCCGCTTCTAGCGGTTCAGGCCCCTATGTCCTAAACCCTTAGAGTAAGCCATCTCTAACTTAAAGTATCCAGTTAAAGTGACGCATTCCGAAATACGACGCATACATTGCCTCTCTGGAGGATGGAGGATGATAGATCCAACTGGTCCTCGGGGAAGCATTGCGATCGCAGAGCATACATACACACATCTTTATACATATATATGTATATATACACACATACACACATACACAGACACACACATATATATATATATATATATATATATATATATATATATATACATACACACACACACACATGCATCTACATATACATACAAACATATGCTTATACATAACACATACACATACACGTGCGCATACACATACACATACACATGCATATGCATATGCATATGCAAATACATATACATAAACGTTTACATATACATATACATATAAATACATATCTGTATATATATATATATATATATATATATATACGCAAAAATACAAATGCGGATGCTCCAGCGTTCATCTTGCGAACTTAGTCTTGCACGGGATTCCCATCCTTCCCAGTTGGCAACACCGTCTTCTTTTCATTGCCCAAATGGAAGTGACAGTCTCAATCCTAAGCCCTCAACCCTAAACCTGTTGAAACCTCGACCCTAGATCCCTAAACCCCAAACCCTCAAACCCTAACCTACACCCAAGGCTCGAAGCCCTAGACCCTCAACCCCAAACCCAGAGCCCCGAACATGAGGCCAGATCAGGTGCAGCGGGAAGAGCCCCCAGCTCTGTCCTTAGCTTGGGGCTAAAGAGTTTAAGGGAGTGTCCAAGAGGGGCTTTCCTAAACTGAGGCAAATGTTTGCAGAACGGATCCTAAACCCTACGCCCTAAGCAACCAGTTGCTTAGGTGTGTATTGGTGTCTCTTCTTTTTCGGGATCTTCAGTAGGCTTCAGCAGGCTTCAGTAGGCTTCGAGATAGCGAGGTGATGGAGCTTTGGGGGTTTGGGGCTTGGGGAGTGGGAGTGAAGCAAACTTCAGGGGGCTTCGGTTGAGTCTGTGGGAATGAGCCGGGAGTTGCGAGA